TTTTTTTTTTTTTGGCTGGTCTGGGGAATGAACTCAGGACCTTGCACTTGTGAGGCAGGCATGGGACCCTGAGCTAAATCCCTGGGTCTTTTGGTTTACTTTTTGAGACAGGGTCTCACTGTATAGTCAGGCTGGCCTCACACTTGTGGCAGTCCTCCTGCCTCAGCCTCCTGAGTGCTGGGATTACTGGCGCGCGCCACCATGTGTAAAGCTGCTTCTCAGTGAGAGGCTACAGATAACCTGTTGAAGGGCATTTTCCCACCAGCCAGAAACCTTTTGTGTGCTGATGCCATAGCACAGCTGGCTGGAAAAGGCACATGAGTGCTTCTGTCAGAGGGTGTATTTAATAGTGGCAGACTCCATCCGTGCTTGGGAATAAAACCAAAAAACTGGAGGCAGCAAGACTGACTTGGCAAATGGCCATGGTCCTCCTGCCATCCTCACTGGTGGCTGCTCATCCCATGTGTGTTTCCGAGTGCTACAGAATCTGTCTTTCATGTGGTCAGTAAAGCATGCTGGGCCTGGCACTGCTAACCCTGACCAGAAAATATGAAATAGGGCTGGGTGCAGCTCATGGGGCTGGGGAGGCCCCGTGTTTGATCCCCAGTAGCAAAAACAAAACGAAACAAAACACCCCCCACACATCAATATACAGGGAATGACATGTTTTTCTACACTGAAACATTTCTTTTCTTTTTTTTTTTGGTACTGGGGATCAAACTCAGGACCCTGCACTTGTGAGGCAGGTGTGGTGCCACTGAACTAAATCCCTGGCCCAGAGAGACATTTCTTGGCAAGTCTATTAACAAGCTAACGGAGTACATGAACAGTACCATAATAACAACTGTATCATCATTTTCGTATAGTCCAGGTGGCCTTGAACTTGCAGTCCTTCTGCCTCAGCCTCCTAATTGCTAAAACTACAGGCATGAGCCCCCCAAGTGTGGCTTCCAGGCATAATGGCATACTCCTGCAGTCCTTGCTGCATGGGAGGCTGGAACAGGAAGATCATCTGAGTGTTAGGAATTGGGTTGGCAGTGAGATCACATCTGGGTTTTCATTGTTGGGGCATTGAACACAGGGCCTCGTGCATGCTAGGTGAGCACTCTGCCACTGAGCTACACTCCCAGTGCAAGGGACTATTTCTTTAAAAAACAAAAAAAAGGGAGATCCTTCTACCTACTGCCTGGATGCTTTCTGGTAAATTCAGTAGGAATCGGCAGTTTTTTCCACAATGGAACTTTGACTTGATTCCCGTAGTTCTTTCACTAGTTTCTTTTTTTCTAGTGTTTCTTTCGCTGTTTTCTTCCTTTCTCGCTTTTTCTTCTCTGCCTCTCGTTTCTCTCTGCAAACAGGACTGTCTTCACCATTGTGGAAAACATCCACTTTCTCCCGTAGGATTTTCCGAGCCAGCTTCCTGTTGTGGTCCACAGATCTCATCGGATGGCACTTCGCTACGAGCCCCGAGGGCATGTGCTTCAGCACCACACAGTTGCTGGTCTTGTTGGTAGCTAGGCACCCCCCCACCCCCGCTCCCCGGCCTGTGTCCCTTCACAAACTGCTCCTCCAGCTCGCTTTCATCCAGGGACAGCAGGCCGGTGTGGTCCTTCTTGCCAGCCACCTGCAGCACAGCTGCAGCGCCTCCTGGGGACGGAGCGAGAGGCCCCGAGGCCCCGAGCATACTCTGGCTAGCACTGCAGGACCACGAAGTAAACCCAAGGTGCTCATCAGGGCCGAGGGGCTGCTTATTCAGAACCTGTTCTCAGAACTGGCCTCGAGCAGGAAAACTTCAAGGAGAAACCAAAACCACAGCAAAGCTGTACACTTGCTGCAGTTTCCCTCCTGTGCGGGAGGGTCATTCTCAGTAACTGCCAACCTGTCCTCCTTTAAATTGTGAGTGTCAGCTGTTGTGTCTCAGCAATGGGAAAGCTGACTAATCCACTGGATAACTCTAAAATCCATAACGGATACATATTTATAAATATACTGAAGGCTACAGTACCCGTGTTTCCTTATTGTTTTGTTGTTCTGGTGCTGAACTGTGATTCATTATATAAAGCATTAAATCCAGTGATTCCTTTAAAGTTCCTCAGTGAATTTCCATTGGCATTCAGATAAAACCCAAGTTCCCTCACATGAGCTGTAGGGGCCATGGCATCTGACTCTGGCATTATCTCTGCTTTCATTCTGTCCTTCCTTGGTGTAATACCTTTTTATAAACTTAGCCCTCCGCAGCTGTGCAGAGCTTGGCTTCCCAGTGTAGACCTTTGCAGCTTGTCTTTGGAGGAGATTCCTTTAGACACAGGCTGCTTTGCATACGGCAGGTGCTGACTGGGATTGTGTACATCCCTGGCTGCCCTCAGAACTGTCCAGAATGGAAGCATGAAAGGCTAGCTCTTGCTGAGGCAGAGACTACCTGCTCATTTCTACTGGGGGACAAGGGACTTCAGCCCTTGCTTGTCTGCCCTTGCTTGGCTGCCTCCCTATCCCTGTCTTGCTTCATTCTTATCTTTACCAGGATTTTAGGAGTACTTCCTTGTTAGTCTTCTTACACACAACTCCTTCTCTTAGGTTCTGCTCCTTGGGAATCTGCCCCAGGATGTCACCCAATTTGAATATACTCCCTCCAACTTCTGTTTGGAAAATATAATTAAAACCACATCTCCCAACCCAGAGAAATCTTCCTACAGAGAACGTGGGGTAAGAAAACAAGTTCGATGGATATTGAATCAGCATTAAACCAGAATGTGAAGTACATCAGACCATCCACCAGGAGACAGCACAGACAGCAAGCAGTCTCACCCTTTAGATCAGCCCGTAGATACTACCTGTTACATATGTGTTCTCAGGACAGACAGTCAAACTTCAAGAAAGAGGAATTGACAGCACATTATTGCACACAGTTAATCTGAAATTCACCTAGTAATTGGGGTGACCATTGGTGTTAGTTTGTACCTTTCTGACAGGAGATGGTTCAGCGAGGGGACCACCCAGATTAGGCTTCTCTCCTCTCCTGGAGTCTGGGAGATATCGTCACCCTTGGCTGTTGACAGTCTACAGATGGTTCCCAGGCCTCAAGGGAGATATTTTGCGGTCAAAGAGCTGGTAGAGGTTTTACTTAGCTTTTAAAAGAATTTACACTTATTTCAAAGAGATAAGTTTTCTATAGTAAATGCTCTAAGAAAGAGCACCTCTTTTCAAGAGTGAGAAGACTCCTTTTAAAGTTTTATTTGTCTTTGTACTGTTTCACTCCATAGCTGCTCTAGAGACTCTGTCTTCTCCTTCATGTTATTTTCTCCATAGCTTTTTGAATGTAATACGTAATGCATGCACAATACTATATGTAACACATACCTAAATTATGAAATCTAGCAATAAATACTTGTGAACCGGCACCCAACTGGAGAACTGGACCTAAGGTGTCTCCAGTTCTACTCCCAGAGGTTCCCCATCCTGAATTTAGCATTTATTATTTTCTTACTTGTACAATGTAAGTATGATTCCCTAACCAGTAGCTCTAAATTAAACCTTTAACTTAGCTTTTCTGAGTTTTGCACACAAAAACAACAAACAGACAAACAAACAAAGCAGCCTGTAGGCAGTCTTTGGGACTACTACATGTGGCCTGTAGCTGCAGATTTTGGTTAATATCTAATATTCCATTGTGTGACTATATAAGCATTTATTTGTACATTCTCCTGCCTGTGGACCACTGGGCTGGTTCCTGTTTTGGGATATTAGGGATAATGCATTTGTGAACATTCTCATTGTATCCGCTGGTACTATATGTGTGGGGCTGTCCATCGTGTGCTCTGAGAAATGGAAGTCTGGGCACTCTTTTATTTTCCTTGTAGCACCCGTGCCTCTGAAAATGTCTTGTTCCTGGTTTGTTTCAGCGCTTACTGTTTCTCCTCACTGCTGCACAGGTAAGCTCCGTTACTGTGGGCCTTTGTTTCAGCCCCAGGAGAGGTTGGATCTAGACCCACTGTACTGGTGAGCATGAATGACCCATTTCCCGATGACCAGTTTTCCTGAACAAGCCTTCCAGAGAAGAGTATTACTACACTCTCCACTGTAGTAATAGCAGCAAACAAAACAAAACAAAACAAAAACAAAAACAAAACAAAACCACACACACAAATAAAAAAATCAACTCCCCCCTAAGAAAAAGCAGTGCTGAGAAACTGGTGGTTGTTAGTCTAAAAATAGATGTTTCACAAGAGAAATTATGTCTTGACTGCAGTATTTTTAAATGTGGGGTCGTCTGACTGTCAAGATCTATTATTAAAGTTGAAGGGATTTTCTCTTCCCGATATCATCATGTTTGAATAAACAAAAATCATTTTTAAGGCCTCAAAGTCTAATAATCAAGATCATGTCGGTATTAAGAGTGTAAGAGGGGCCGGGGATTTAGCTCAGTGGTTTCATTGTCTGCTGTGCAAGCGCAAGGACCCGAGTTCGATCCTCGGTACCAAAAAAAAAAAAAAGTGTAAGAGTAAAATTTGACTAGAGGTGCTAAGTATGCGGATAACAGATATTTACTGTGCAAGGATTTAAGATTAGCAGTCATTTGGATAACAAATTTGATATGTGGCATTGTCTGTGGTATAATGAAAACTCAATTGTTGAAATTCTCTTTAAAAATCTCTTGAGAAGGGGTGGGAAGAGTTTATCAAATGGCAGGGTTTGGAAATTTAGGGAGATCTCTTAAGTATCCGACTTCAGTGATTCCAGCATTTTGAATCTCACATTTTAATTTAGTGTGTGGTATTCCCAGGCTCTCTGTAAGCTCTCTAAAGAGGTGCTGCTGAGTTTTGTGTTTGGCTTGTGTCTTGGTGAAAGTTGTTGTGTTGACATGGAGAGGGAATTATGGGAATGTAGTTCCAAGAATCTTAACATACTTCTCCTAGGACCCACTGTGAATCTGCAGATAAGGTGGCAGTAGACTTTCCTGGACTCATCAGTTCCCACCCCGATGGGACATGTTTCTCCTTATTAGCACTTTGCTACTGCCAGCTGCTTTCCTAGACTGTCTCAGTTGCAACAGTTTAAATCCTGTTAAAATTCATTTTACAATAGTTTCTGTCCACTAGGAAGTTTCTTCTCTGGTCTCCTTGGAGTTGGAGCTATTTTAAATTGTCATTTTGCCAGTTTTGTTTCACTTGGAGCATGTGTTAATCTATTTCCAGAATGTATTTTAAGTATTACCCTCATTTGTTCAAGTAGTTTCATTTCTGAATTTTGAATTTTCATCATCCTGTTTAAGTTCTTTAAAAAGAGACTAGAGTTTGGAGACATTGTCTGGAATTTCCTTCTACTTAAAATCTAGAATAATCATCCATTTCGCCTCAAGCATAGTACTTTTAAAATTTAAATTTCCCCTTCTGTACCAGCTTTAAATTTGAGGGGAGGCACTGCAAATGTTCTTTGTTCTGGGGTGGAAATGATGAATGCTTATACAGAACTCTTCATAAGAAGTCTTTGGGATCATCCAGCCAACTTGTAAATATAGGTTTGAAATCCCAGGAAACTACCTAAAATTATTAAGTGCCAGAAGAAATCAAAGATACCTTGCTGAATTACATATATGTACTAGAAGGGTTGACAAATCTTTCTGATTCAAAGACAACACAATTTTTAGAGGATTTTAAGTTTAGTTTAATAATTAAACAAGTGAGAGTCCTGCTTGTCTTTTTAATTTTGATAAATGTCTCCATTTTTGTTACTGTAAGAGGAATGTGACCTACAGTTGTTCAGGTAACTAACAGTCCTCACTAAAGTAAAATATTATGAGGTTATGGAGGTGAAGAAGGGGTACCTACAAATTTTCTATTGCTTAAGGTTTTTATTTCTCCTTCTAATTTTTCCTCTAAACTTGAGCTTCTCAACAAGTTCATTCTCTGCTTGCTAAGACAATGCCCATTTTTATCTTTCATGTGAATTTGTATGTAGGTAATCAGGCAATTTGGGGATTTCATTGGTGATCACATTTTGAAATTTCATTATGAATGACTTCTCACCAAATGGCAGCTGCCAGCCTCATGGTAAACACAGGACATAAAATTAGCCATAGCTTACCATTTTCAGTTTCCCTTAGGGTATACCTGGCATGTAGTCCTTGTGCCCTGAGTTTTAGTTGAACTGAATGTTTTTGAGTCCTGGAGAACTATCAGAGTTTTAACTGAGCAGAGCAGAGCAGAGACCCAACATATAGTTACTGTGAAGACTTCTCATGCTGAAATAACAACTAGTAAGATTATATTGGCCAACTTCAATGATGTTTTATTAAAAAGACTTCCACTGCTCACTTTGACTTGACCTTGGTCTTCCCATGATGCCTCTATCTGGCTTTATTCAGGTGAGAAGTTTATTTTAGTTAGGAGGCCATGTGGTTGGGCCATTTGAAAATTTCTTATGTCAAAGTAGTTCTCTCTTGAAATAGGCTCCCCTATAAGTAGAGTCACATGGGCTTGAAAATCAAGTGTCCAGGGTCTAGTAAAAATCAGAAAGTAGGATAAACAAGATAGTTAATAAAAAGAAGCTTTTCCTTTCTAACTTTTATTTTTTTTGGAGATTGTTTTGTATAGAAACTTGTGTATGCAGGTAACTATTGATGTGGTTGTTGTAAACAGACGTTTTTTGGAAAAGGTGGCATTGAATAATGAAAAGAATTTGAGTTTGAAGTCAATTGAGCTTGTGTTTGAATCTTGGTTTTAGCTGTGTAGGTCTTACAAAAATGGTGATGATTACAAGGAAATGATAAATGTATAAGATGACAGATATGCCAGTTATCCTGACCTGCTTATTGCACATTGTATACATGTGTTGAAATATAATCCTTGTCATTTTCCTGTCATGGGAACAAAAGAA